ACACACACACACACACACACACACATACACACATACTCACACACACACACACACACACACACACACACACACACACACACACACACACACACACACACACACACACACACACATACACATACACACATACACACACACACACACACACACACACACACACACGTACACACACACACACACACACACACACACACACACACACACACACACACACACACACACCCGGCAGAGGCAGAAACAAATGGGCAGAGTTTCTTTCACCCTGTTGCCCCTGTTCACCTAGCAGCGAATAGGTAGGTACCTGTGAGTTAGACAGCTGCTACGAGCTGCTGTGTGTGTGTGTGTGTGCGCGTGTGTGCGTGCATTGAAGATATGTATAGTGTATACATAATGTATATATATATACATATACATATATCTAATACATAAATGTATTAGATATAATAGAGGAAAAATAAATTGGTTAGAAAGGCGGGGTCCAAGAGCTAATAGCTCGATTCTGCAGACACAAATAGTAAATACAAATATTAAATACACACCCATATATCCCACGCAACATAAAGGCTTCGCAACGTAACGTCAGAAAGACGTCTTTGATGGTGGTTGAGAGCGAGAGCCAAGCGCCTCTATACGAGCTACGTCCTCTAACAGGCTAGAGGAGGATAGAAGAGTGGTCTGAAGCGAGAAATATCACCATTAATCACCCAACCATCACATTTCTGAAGGAAAGGAGCCACTCCCCTCTGGCGCTACTGCTTATAAATACCTCTGTTCCCCCCCCCCCCCCCCTCTCCCGCCTTGCCACAGAAGAAAACGTAGAACTGGTCTTGCAGGCGTTCAGCTCTAAGATGCTTAGATCTTGCTAGGCACAGAGCTAGCGTGCGAGGTTAGATCTTGCTAGGCTCAGACTGTGCGAGTTTCAGATCTTACTAGGCTCAGACTGTGCGAGTTTCAGATCTTGCTAGGCTCAGACTGTGCGAGTTTCAGGTCTTGCTAGGCTCAGACTGTGCGAGTTTCAGATCTTGCTAGGCTCAGACTGTGCGAGTTTCAGATCTTGCTAGGCTCAGACTGCGAGTTTCAGATCTTGCTAGGCTCAGACTGCGCGAGTTTCAGATCTTGCTAGGCTCAGACTGTGCGAGTTTCAGATCTTGCTAGGCACAGAACTTGAGAGGTTTAGATCTTGCAAAGTTCAAGATTTTTAATATATGACGTTTAGGGTGACAGGTATTTAATGGAGAGTATGACATCCGCGCCTCAGCGACTTCGTCTTATATTGGAGAATTTCTGAAGGAGATGCTAAAGTCAACGTTTTTTTGAGAGAGATGCAAAATGCACATAACTTTGCTCACAAATACCTTTAGGTATTAACGCAAGCTTATCGTAATTTGACTTGATTATTATTATTTGAACCAGTTGTAAACGTGATTACATATTTGTTGCTTAAGCTTGGTAATTAGTAAGTAAGTGACGTTGATGTAAATGCTCTTTTCTTACCGTGGGACTTATAATGCTTACATTTTTACCGATGTTTCTTGAGATTATTTAATGACTCTTATAACTCCTTAACATTTGCTTCTGTCTCTCCTGCTTCAGTTCTTGGTGTCGCTCGAGCGTGAGTACTAGTGTTATACTGTTTCTTGCAATCACAATTCAAGTCCAGTGACAGTCTTGCAGACCTGTAAAACCGTTGATTAATGATGGCACGAAACTATATCTTAGATCCAGCTGATAAACAACGGTCAAAGTCTCTTCATTATCGATGAGAAAATTGTTTTATAAATAACTTATAACTGATTGTGTTCGAAGTTGTCTTGAGGTATGAGTTGTCTTGATGTATGAGTTGTCTTGAAGCATGAGTTGTCTTGAGGCATGAGTTGTCTTGAGGCATGAGTTGTCTTGAAGCATGAGTTGTCTTGATGTATGAGTTGTCTTGAGGCATGAGTTGTCTTGATGTATGAGTTGTCTTGAGGCATGAGTTGTCTTGAGGCATGAGTTGTCTTGATGCATGAGTTGTCTTGAGGCGTGAGTTATCTTGAAGCATGAGTTGTCTTGAGGCATGAGTTGTCTTGAAGCATGAGTTGTCTTGAGGCATGAGTTGTCTTGAGGCATGAGTTGTCTTGAGGCATGAGTTGTCTTGAAGCATGAGTTGTCTTGAGGCATGAGTTGTCTTGAGGCATGAGTTGTCTTGAGGCATGAGTTGTCTTGAAGCATGAGTTGTCTTGAGGCATGAGTTGTCTTGAGGCATGAGTTGTCTTGAAGCATGAGTTGTCTTGAGGCATGAGTTGTGTTGAGGTATGAGTTGTCTTGAAGCATGAGTTGTCTTGAGGCATGAGTTGTCTTGAGGCATGAGTTGTCTTGAAGCATGAGTTGTCTTGAGGCATGAGTTGTCTTGAAGCATGAGTTGTCTTGAGGCATGAGTTGTCTTGAGGCATGAGTTGTCTTGAGGCATGAGTTGTCTTGAGGCATGAGTTGTCTTGAAGCATGAGTTGTCTTGAGGCATGAGTTGTCTTGAGGCATGAGTTGTCTTCAAGCATGAGTTTCTTCACTCACTGCAAATTCAGATAATTCACAACAAAAGCGAAACATGTAACAAAACCTATCCTAAGGCTAACTTTAGACCAAATTATAATATAAAATAACAATTTATATTTGAGAAAACACCTCTTTATCACTACGCAGTACGATCAAATTGCCGAGTTTCCTCTTTGGAGTCGTCCGCCTGGAGTCGTCCGCCTGGAGTCGTCCGCCTGGAGTCGTCCGCCTGGAGTCGTCCGATTGAAGGCGTCCGCCTGGAGTCGTTCGCCTGAAGCCGTCCAGCTGGAGTCTGTGTGAACAATGTGAACAAAAGATCTACTTATATGAACCGCGTTTTTCCTAGTCACAAGAGCCACCTGCCTCTATAGTGGTCAAGACGACTCAAAGACTCAAGATTCAAGACTCAAGGGGGGGGGGGGGGAGGGGGTCTTGAGGTCCTGGTAACTTATGGTACAAACAGACCGGGCGACTAGATATGTGGGAAAATATATATATATTGATATAATATATATCACTATATCAATATATATATCATTTATATCGACTTGATATAATGTTCTAAATTGAATTTTCGTACCTTTTAACTACTAATTGAGTACGTACTAATGATAGTCTACTTGTGACAAGATAGACGCTAGACAGAAACTAGCAACACAGCAGAATCAACACAACAGAAGCAACACAACAGAATCAACACAGCAGAATCAACACAGCACAAGCAACAACAGCATTAGAAACAAACAAGAGCAGTAGTAACAGAAGCAGTGAATCATCAGTATCAACAGCAGAACAAGCAGCAGCAGCAGCAGTAAAAGCAGAACCATTATAGCAAGTGAAGCAGAAGCAGACACGGGCTTGTATAAGGTGTTGACAGACAGACAGGCAAGCAAGCGGGTGATGGGGGGGGGGGAGGGATGATGGGTTTGGGAGTTTTTTTTGGGAGGTTATGGGGTAAGTAATGGGGTTTGGTGGGTCTGGGGTAGGGGGGGGGAAGAGGGCGTTGCTCCGGTATAAACATGACAATTGATATGACGGTGGGTCCCCCCCCCCCACCCCCCTACCCTGTCCCAGCACGGCCCACCACCACCACCCACCCTCACCCGACACACACACACACTCTCTATGTCACTGACAACGAACATTCCGACCCAAAAAAATATACGACAAATTTAGAGTTATGGAGGAAAAGTGATTAGGTATTCTGACTGGTGTCATGATGTGATGGAGTGATGAATGGTGTCAGAACTCGCTTCTGTGGTCTGATCCATGTATGCCCCGTGCTTCTGTGGTCTGATCCATGTATGCCCCGTGCTTCTGTGGTCTGATCCATGTATGCCCCGTGCTTCTGTGGTCTGATCCATGTATGCCCCGTGCTTCTGTGGTCTGATCCATGTATGCCCCGTGCTTCTGTGGTCTGATCCATGTATGCCCCGTGCTTCTGTGGTCTGATCCATGTATGCCCCGTGCTTCTGTGGTCTGATCCATGTATGCCCCGTGCTTCTGTGGTCTGATCCATGTATGCCCCGTGCTTCTGTGGTCTGATCCATGTATGCCCCGTGCTTCTGTAGTCTGATACGTGTATGCTCTCCTGCTTCTGTAGCCTGATACGTGTATGCTCCCTGCTTCTGTAGTCTGATACGTGTATGCTCTCCTGCTTCTGTAGCCTGATACGTGTATGCTCCCTGCTTCTGTAGTCTGATACGTGTATGCTCTCCTGCTTCTGTAGCCTGATACGTGTATGCTCCCTGCTTCTGTAGTCTGATACGTGTATGCTCTCCTGCTTCTGTAGCCTGATACGTGTATGCTCCCTGCTTCTGTAGTCTGATCCATGTGCAACTCTTGTTCTATGTAAAAAAAAACTTTTTAAAGGTACTCTTAAATAAAGATAAGATAAAGATTTGAAAGATTTTTAAAGATAAAAAGATTTTTTAAAGATACTTTTTTTAAAGATAAAGATTTTAAAAATACTCTGTAAAGAACTACTTAAGGCAGCATTTACATATTCATGATCTTCACAAGCGACCCTTTCACTACCATACCTGTGGAATGGAACGTGAACTACCCCTTAACGACCTTCATTGCACCAATGGTAGCGACTCAACCTCACAATTACACGAAAACCCACCAGAAAAATATTAAGGTTCGCCCGTCGGTTTTGTCCAAAGTCTCGAGACTTTGGACAAAACCGAGACTGAGGTCTCGGACAGACCTCAGTTTTTTTTTTTTTTAAATCCTGGCTTAAAGTTTGTGACGTCATGCTCTCTCCGTTTTCTGTCGTTGTTGTTGTTGTTGTTTTCGATACCTGCTTGACGGGGTTCTGGGAGTTCTTCTACTCCCCGAGGAGAAGAACTCCCAGCCCAAACTGGGAGGAGTAGAAGAACTCCAATAATTCAAGCATGGCCCGGCCCGAGGCCAGGCTTGAATTATTGTAACCAGATTCAGCAACTTGGAAAAATAAGTTGCAAGTAGCACGGGCTATGGTGAGCCCGCAGTGGACTCCGTTTTTTGTCTTGATAAAGAAAGCAGTTGGTGTGTGTGTGTGTGTGTGTGTGTGTGTGTGTGTGTGTGTGTGTGTGTGTGTGTGTGTGTGTGTGTGGGTGGTGTTACATGGGGGGGGGGTGATAACTGTTATCAATTTATTGACTGAAAATAGTGTATTAGTTACCAAGATAAAGGTCTGCTGCATTTCCTGGCGAAAACAGAATTAAAATGAAGTTGTATTAATGTTGTATTTTGTTCCAATTAAATTTTTTACAAATGATTGTGTTGATAAAATAATATTACGGTAAAGGAACAGTTGGGCCACACTTATATTTACACAAAATATTAGTAACTTTAACTTACGTTTTTTATTAAAATTCAAAGTATGATATTTCCCAAAGTAAAAAATCTTTAACACTGATATATGATGGTTTAAATTTTATTAAAGCGTATGTGGGAACGGCCCTTCATTACCGGCCGTTCCTCTTAACCGAACACAGGCCGTTCTGCAGTATCCTCCGAAGGATACCTGATCAACCAGACTGTGATTGATACGTCATACCAGGAACAGCTGCGTCTTACAGCCTGATATTGAAGAGGTATATAGCCAGTATGACCATGTAACTCTTGGTAGTTGTATATGACGACATAGGGAAGGGTCTGTGTCCAACCACTGGTACCATCGGGAATCGAACGCGGACCCTGTGAAGAGCAAGACCGTCACAGGAGCGACTATTCCTATAGCTGATGGAAGCTAGGAGCCAAAAACAAGGGTGTTGATGTATATCCCATACATCATGGGGTATACATCATACATCATGATGTATCCCATAAACTCTCAGTTACTTTTAAATGAAGGGAACTCACCAGCACAGGGCCCCGCTCCTGTGCCAGGTAAGTCTACTACGGGCTCACCATAGCCCGTGCTACTTGCAACTTGTTCCGAGTAGCTGAATCTCTAACAACAAATCACAATTAACACCTGGCTTTTCTTCAGTCGAGATTAATATTCCCTTAAACAAACACAATACTTTATTCTTCCAGTGTAATTACCTCGTGTTTTTGTGTGTGTGTTTTTGTATCAGCTGAAGATCGGCGGCGTTGCCACACGAAGATAAACTGTAAACAAACATGGCGATGAAAATCCTTTTTCATATAAATCCAGCGAGAGGGAAAAAACAGGACAATCAAGCGACATTCTGATCATTTTCAAACAGGGTTCATTTTCCGTGTGGATAGTGTTGTGAAGTGAGCCTTGTGAGAGCCGGAGCTCGGACGTTCCCAAGGTTCATTTTCCGGGTGGGGTAGCGTGGGAGAGTGAGCCTTGTGGAGCAGCCGGCGTTCGAGGCGTATAGCCTGGCGCTTTGTCCCTAGATGTCGTTATCAAAAGTTGGAAAAGCAACTCTGATAATGAGGGAAGAGTTCATGAGGGCGGCTATAGTCTTGTCCTCAGCGCTCTCAACCTTCACCCTCATACTTTCCAAGCTTCACCTCACAATTCCTGTGCTTTAAATGCATGGTTAGCAAATTTCAATTCGTAGATAGCAAGCTTCAGCTCAGAGATATCCAAGCTTTAATTTATAGATAGCAAGCTTCAATTCAGAGATACTACGCTTCATTTCATAGTTCCGAAGCGTTCAGCTTCACTTTTCTATTGTTTTCTATTATCTCTATTATTCTAGTTTATTAATCTATTATTTGATCACTCACTTACATCGATTGGTTTCTGTCTGTCTCTGTCTCTCTCTCTCTCTCTCTCTCTCTCTCTCTCTCTCTCTCTCTCTCTCTCTCTCTCTCTCTCTCTCTCTCTCTCTCTCTCTCTCTCTCTCTCTCTCTCTCTTCCTCCCCTTGTTTAGCACATTGTCTCTCCATGTCCTGAGCTTCTGTAATAGTCATACCTCAATATTTTGTTCCCGTATTCTTTCTTCTTGATTACGTACCCTCTCTTGCCCTTCTTGTTTGCTGTTCTTCTCTTGCGTGTTCGTGTTCTTCGTCTTCCTATTCCTCCTGTCACACTGCCCAACCTGTTATACACCTTTGTTCCTGTTTCATCACCCCTTCTCTGCCTTGTTATTTTCTTCCTGTGGTATAATTACCCTCTCATTGTTATTAAATATGTTCTCTTTCATTGTGTGACGTTGGGCGAGAGTTCCGTGTTATCATCATTATCATCATTGTCTCTCATTGTTCTTGTTATTTTTATGTGTTGTTGTCTGTGATACCTTGGAATAGAGATTGCTTTTGTTTCTGAGCTGGTCGACCCTCTTCACACACCCTCTTTATTGGGGGGTTTGTGTTATTGTACCTGTTTGTTTCTGTGTGTGTGTGTGTGTGTGTGTGTGTGTGTGTGTGTGTGTGTGTGTGTGTGTGTGTGTGTGTGTGTGTGTGTGTGTGTTCACCTGGTTGTGGGGGACGGGGGGGGGGTGGTGGTTGAGCTTTGGCTCTTTGGTTCCGCCTCTTGTCAATCAACTGGTGTAGAGGTTC